TACTTACTACTAAGTGTTTTGAACTAATTTCCAAAATGCAGTGACAAGTCTCTCGAAAGCAACCAAATATTTAACCACCATAGCCTTGCCCCAGGCAAACATTTCCACGTTGAGGTCATGATGCGCAATGATTTTAAGATTCCAGCTTAACTCGTTGGTGAATATTTTACTTCCACGGGCGTGAAAGATTGGCGCATCGATGTAACGCATTCCCATGTACGATATTTCTGATGGTGCGGTTGACGTTCGTCGCTCTTCTGCGATTAACCGCTGGCTTGGCACGGAGGTGTTCTGATGTAAATCGAAAATGAATAGATGGAGAATGAAAAATGGAAACTGGAACGGCAAGTGAAGCTGGAAAAATGAATTGTTGTAAATTGTCTGGGATGCCGATAGATGCACTTCCACAAAACACCGTTTGCAGGTTGCTGTTTTACCTATAGTGGTTAGTTCAATAGTCATGAAATTCCGTTACATAGTGAGATTTTCGCCACATTTGTTGTTGCGTTTTCTTGCTAGGGGCTGCGTTCAGTGCTTTCCAATCTTTTCAGATGTTTTTATCGATAATTGCCAGTAAATGCCCAAACCGCGGCTGCATCTGTGCGGTGTGCATGGCAGTTTCCATGCTCATCACAAAAGCCTGATGTTCGGTACTCCTTGTTCCCTCGAGTTCAGATGCGAGTTTCTGCTCGTGGAGCCTTGTGGCGCCTCTCGAGATGTAGTGCCCAGCACATGCCTTGCATCTTCCAACAAGACTCCAAATGGATTTCAACAACTCCCTCGGAAAAACATCGTAGTTTGGAGATATTTTCGCCTTTGCGAACGAATCGCCTTTATTAGTCCATTCATCTCAGATCTCAATAAAAGAAACTAGATCATATATGCGGCTAAAGTAGTCGAAGCCGTACGTAGCGTGGCGGAAGCTTGTTCTTTGCGTTGAGTAGCCTCGTCGCATTGTACAGCCCATTTGATCGAATCAATGCAAAAACTGAGGTTAAAAGTTTGTGCTCAATATATGCGTGGGTTATACAGACGTTCGGCATTCACAGAATTAGTTACAGTGATCCTTTTGAAGGTTAAAAAGTGTGCACTGGGATCTTGAAGAAAGGAACAATGCGTGTGCCACAAGCAATGCTGGACAGGTTTGATTCCCACGATTCTGTGAATTGCATAACGCTTCGTTACCGTTGAAAATTTCCCCTTTTGCGAAGGGGAAATTACTAGTTACAAATACAAGTAGTATTTGTTCGTTGTCAGGTTCCCTTGAGTTTAAACATTAGTCTCTGAAGGGCAAGATCATCAGGCGGAAGTTTGAATGATAAATTGCAAGTATATTTAACTTTGGGCGGGTAACATCGAGCATGGGGTGCCATTCAGCTCATTGTCATTGTCACTTAGCCTTCAATATAGGCTGTTGTTGCTGAATGCATGGACCAAGGCGATGCTAATGTGCTCAACTGCTTGGCCCCTAGGAAACCTTAAGAAAATCCTAAGAAAGTGAGTTTCACAGAGAGGTGGTGTGTCCACCCTGCACTAGGGAAAAAAGGGCCAAATAACACTTTTGCGAACACGCATAAAACACATTTCATTAAAAGTTCCGCACGCTAAGAACACAAAAAACAACACAAACCCGTAAACTTTGTACACGTTTGAACACGTGTTATTTGGCCCTTTTTTTCCTAGTGCTGGCAAGTGTGCATGGTTATTCTTTGAACTGGAAGGTCCTGGATTAAGCTATTCCCATGCAACGAACTCGTAATACAGTTCGTTGCCCATGACTCTCGGATACAAAGCATGCTCAGCGTACGTCAATGAAGCAAATTGCCGGTCGAGGCTTTCTAAAGTGTTCCATAGCAAGATCTCAGGAGCTCTGGTGGGTTTTGGAATCGCACAAAGCTGCAAACATGAGCGGCGGCGTCCGTGGAAAGTTCAGTCGGACGAAGGTACAGTTACAGGCAATGAAAGCAAACACGTGGAATGCAATTTATTTTTGAACAAGGAAGCATCTCGTCCCAACGCACTGTGGAATAGCTCATTCCAGCAATGGGTGGATGTTTGATGTGCAAAATTATCTCGCTTTGTCCATCAAATCAGCTAAAGAAAGCTACTCCACGGATGCCGCCTTCAAGGTGATTTGGCACTTGTTCCGCCCGTGTATACCCTACCAGTACCACTAAAGTATCAAACCCGGCGAGGCGTGGCTCAGTGCGCACAGGACATGGCCCATGTGCATTTTGTCCTCAGTGTGGACGGATTTCCGTCTCTCGAAGTTGCTCACTGGATAGTGTTGAACCACCCTGTCCACCCACTGCACAAATCGATCGGGACGGTTTTCGACCAGTGGCCCCACCGTGTTCGGTATGCTGCACGGTAACAGCACACCACTCACACAAACTATTCAAGCACGACTGGTCCATATTCAAGCATCGAAAGCCGCGGAAGGAATAGGTGCGTTGTGATTTTCTGCGGGAGTGGCTGTTTGCATGTGCTGAAAGTGCATGACCTGCAAATGTTGAATGCCCCCCGGCACAGTCGCTACGTCTGTGGAGGTGCAGGGTCTTAAGAGCGTGCGCCGACCTGGATGTAACACGCAGCTTTGTCCTACGACGGCGTGCTAACTTCAGCGCTGAGAAAGGCAGTGCGGACAGATGCAGGCTGGGCGCCCACAGCAATGGCAATTAGTGCGGCAAGAGTTAAACGGCGCCGACTGGGCATCAGCGCCCTGGCGAGCACCTTCCAGGGCGGCCACCAAATCATCAGCGCCAGGCCACAATCCATGACAGACTGCCCAGCATGACGCATTCGCGAAGGGCCTCATTTGCGGACGCGATCGAAGGCCATGAGTCCAATTGCCACCGACCCAAACCCCGGGCCACAAAACGCCCCCGGCGGGGCTTGTTCGCGTCTGCCTGTGCGCAGACGACCGTCCCCAGTCCCCGGCCTCGAGCCTGCAGCACTGCCGGAATGCGGCGGCCACAGGTGAATGGATGCGCCCCTGCCGGGGCGGGATGTGGGCAGGTGGTTTCTGCAGAGCGAGGCGCGGCGCAGAGGGCTGGGTAGCTTCCGAGAACATCGCCCTGTGGCAGAGTTGGTTAGATCCCTGGCTTGAGACTCTTCCGCGCCGGAATTGGGTTTTGAGGCTTAGTTTCGTAGTCAGGCTCCATCCAGGGAGCCAAGCTTTGCTGCGGGGCCGATTGGGCCCAGCCTGCCCGGCCCGGCTTCTGTTGCGTCGATATCGACACCCGCGGCAAGCCGGGACCATATACTCAAGAGTGCCCCGCTCCACGGCTTTCGTCGTCAAATTTGCCATTTTCTCTCAGCCCCAGACCGCCACTCCTTGCGGCCGATGCCCCGCCAATTTTCTTGTGAATCCGAGCGCTCCTTCGATTCTCGCCCTTCCGTTTTGCGCAGGTGCGCCCTCGACTCGCGCCGCCCGTCGGCGTCCCTTTGGCGCTGGCGTGCCTGCTGCTCGCCTACGCCATTCCGACGGCGGAAGGCAGACGGGTGGGGGGCAGGATTGGCGGGGGCGGTTCCTCCTCCGCTGGACGCGGCGGGGGTGTTCCGTCTTCCTCCTCCGGTGGAGGCAGCGATGGCGACGGCGACAGCGACCCTGCAACAACAGGCATCGTGTGAGTGCAGCGGTTGCGCCGCGGTTGGAGTCCAGTCCCGGTCCCAGGCAGCCAAGCTCCATCCCGGGGTGTGGCCGCAGGTGCATGAGGCTCTTCCTTGTGGCCAATGGGGCTGCAACCCCACTCGCGCTCTGTTGCGGCATGTATGCCTGGAAAGGTTGTACAGGGGGGATTCATGATGCTGCAACCCCACACGCGCTCTGTTGCGGCATGTATGCCCCCGGAAAGGTCGTACAAGGGGATTGATGATGCGGTGGAGGGTGTCGAAATCGGTCCACCCTGCTAGTCCCCTGGCACGGGTTCGACCCCCAACCACGTTTTGCCGCAAATCGGCGTTCGAACATCAGTTTGATCGAGCCCCACATGGTTCCCAGTTTGACATCCCACGTTTCGTGCCGCGGTCTCGGAAGTTGCGAATTGGAATTGCAAACTTCCCATCGATCGTCGACTTCGGATGGGCAGCAACCAGGCGCACGGTCTACCCTCTCTTGATACCGGATTCGATCAGGTCGTAATCTGGCTTGAAAGTCGATTCACGGGTTCTGTTGCCGTCAAGAGATGGACACAGCCCCACAGCGTGGACACCCTGCCTACCCCATTGCCAGACAATGGGCTAAAGAACGTGGTTGTGATTGTTGTTTTAAATATGCAATGATATACTATTGATTTAAAAGCCCATGTACATAGAATGCATTCAAAATCATAACTTCGTGACCCTTTTATTGCTTGTTGCATTTCTAACCATTGAACTTGTGTAATTTCAACAAAATGAAGCATTTATAAGTGCATATCATTCACAGCGCAAATCGATAACACATGGAACAAAGCAACTGTGTCTCAATTTTCAGCGATCGACATCCCATTGAATGCAAATTCTACAAAGAATGCGAAGGTCAATATGCCAGTCTCTGCAATTGAAGCAACACTCTTTTGTCAAAAGCTGTTGCGTAGCTTGGCTTTGTACTTTATGTTGGTTGGTGGCTCTAATTTTGTCTGCAGTGCTATGCACATTTTTTGTGCAGAGCAAATCAGGCCGTGCCAATGGTTGCTGCAAGAAAGGACAACATTTGCTGCCTGGGCAGCTCCCCAACAGCAGTCAATGGATGAATGAACAGCTAAAATGCCCCACTCTGAAAAATGTAGTAATTGCATGTCAAATCCTGTCAATGCTTTACACGTGCTGGTGATCTAGCAAGAACGCAGATGCAGTGTCTGCCATGGTCTTTGACTCAAGGACGGAGCCCACAGAATCCATGAGGTGATGCATGGAATCAAGTATGTGAATTACGCCAAGCCAGTATGGGGATTAATGCATGCGTTGCTGCGAGAACATGTGCGTGCACGCAATTTCAGTAATGGTGCAGTCGCACTATGCGAAATGCAGACAAACTTATGAGAATGGCTTGCATGCGTGATGCCTCCAGGATTGCTTCCATCGTTGCCATCATGGCCCTCTGCTTAGGTCTTTACTGTTATGTCAAGAGAAGGGGCTGTCCCCGATGGTGCCTTTCTTTGTGGCATCGCCTTCTAGGCTGCATTTTCCCTTCACAATTCCAGAGGAACAAAAGTCTTCTTCCTGAAGTTGCCTCGCCCAAGCAGGAGGTCTCAAGTGTGCCTTTGCCAACAAAAGGAGGTGGACGCACTGCTGTCACAAATGAGGGATTGGATTCAGTGGCTGGTTTGATCAAGATGAGGTTGCATTTGTCCAATGGGACTCCGCAGCTTGGTGGTGGCAGCCCAGTGGCATTGCCACCATCTGGCAGGTGAAAATGTGTGACATATGTCAATGTGTGACATGGCATGCGGCTGCAGTGCAATGATCCGTGTCATGGTGCAGGGCCATGTTCTGTGGTGCCCCCTTTTTCCTGCTGCAATTTGCTGCGATGCTCAGCCAGGCAGTGTGACAGCACGATGCAGCGACACTTTGCACCACTTGCTTCAACTCCCCAATCTTGGTTGCATATCCATGTGCCAAGCAAATGTACACAAATATAGAGCTAATATCAGAACATCAGTTAGCACATATTTCTGCTGAGATCGTCCATCTGTGAGCGAGGTGTGAAGAAAGACATGTGTACTCTTCCTCTAGCACATTGTCCATTTGCAGCACCTGAGGGGTGACTCCAGTGAGTTTTGCCCAGTTTGGAGTCAAGTGGACTTCGCATGAATGGCCCAGGCACTGCAAGGCTCATTCAGCAAAGGAGCTTAGCCAACTTGAAAGTTCGCTGGGAAGACATAGTGGCGATCTTGCATCTTCAAGGCAATGACATGTACTTAACCATCCAAGAACATTTTCTGTCCCTCGTATGTTCATTTTATCAGCTCGGCACTGGCCTGTGCATGCGAGTGTATGCATTGCACGCATTGCATATAAACAGTGGTTGGACTTGTGGGTGCAATCACATGTGAACGGGGAGAAGCTCATACTTTGTCATATCCACAGACTGAGTGAAGGCAGTGGCACGTCCTCAGTCCGCAAAGATGATTGGCAGTGTCAATTTGAAAACGTTCACCTTCTCTGATAAAACTCAGTCTCCCACAAAAACCAAGTGCATTTTCCGGCAATAGTGCCAAGTTTGGGCAAGAGCTTAGCCAAGTTCCCGATCGCCATTGAAGCGCAGATTATGACCTGGCATGGACATTGAAAACGGGTGGGGTTGGGTGCATGGGTGGGTGGGTGGGTGGGTGGGGTGGGATGGGTGATGGACAGGCAGGTGGTATGTATGACTTTTGCATCAATTTCGTTGCCTGCACCACAGGTACTTTGGACAGTATGAGGAATGCGGAAAGATGAAAGAGGTCACCTATAATCTGGAATTTCTAAAAGATGGTTATATGTCTGGAAGATGCGAAGATGATGACGGAGAACTCCAGGTGCTGGAAAGATTCACGCCCGTTTGGAACAATGTGGACACAACCGAGTATCAGCCTCTAGTGATGTTTCCCATCACTGTGCCCATGCAACTGTTGAACTGCGGATTTCGCTCACTGCATCAGCACATGCCCTTATCAGCACTGTATCGTCCAGCCATCCCCTGACGCAGCCATTCCCAAACTGGCTTGCTAATCAGTAGTACGTGCAGCATGATCACTGAGAAACCCTTCCATTTCTGAGATGTTTCCATGAAGTAACATAAAACAATGCCCTCAGCATTTCAGTGTGAAGTACATTAATGTGCGTGCATGTGACATGCAAATTATGGTAGCGCTATGACCTCAATATTCTGCCCATGCACCTGCCCGTATGCACTTTGAGCAATGCCCATGTCCAATGCGTTCAATGTACTTATGAAAATGGGAGTACGCGTTTGGTTCCTATCTCAACACAGATAAAGCTACCTCCAGCTGCTGTTCAGCTGCTGAGTTGGATGTTGCCGTAAATTTTCAACTACCGCATCATAAAGTTTTATCTTTAGGATTTTCTCCCCGCATGTGTTCCTCACAGCGTTGCTTTTATTTTCTTATATAAGAAAATAAACGTACATGTTGCTCCGCGAAAATTGGCCAAGCGTTGCATTATATTTATTGTTTTTTATTGCAAAAAGGACCAAGCGACGCGTTGTTGTGCGGAAGGGTTGAATATTTATTGTAAGCTTTAGGAGATTCTCAAATTTTGCTACTGCTAATGGCAAATCATGGACAGGCACGGAAGCACGCACTCTGAAGCACATCTTTGTATTGACGTTTCAGCATGGGAATTCCTTTATCTTTTCAGTGCACCGCGCAGCCCTTGCAAATCCTGTAACGTTTGGGGTGCACTGAATGCCTCAAGAGATTCCAAACTGGAGAGCTTCCAGCCTTGGAAGTATCTGAACGTATTGAAGTTACAATGACGTGATGATTATTGTCGAGTGGTTTCATTGTTCGCGCTCCTCGCCCGCGCTCACACACGGTCGCTCCCAGGCACGGGAAGCAAGCCGCAACCAAATGGATTACAGAATGGTCCTGTCTGTCATGTAGCATTCACCGCAAGCATATTCAGCTCATGTCTTTCTCCCATCATTCTCCATGTCACCATAATAAACACCGTACCCAATGTCACCATACTCACTTAACTACTCATACAACTTTTCTTATCCTCACAATTACCATGGGAATGATGTGCTTTGCGATGAGATACGTGAATGTGTGCTATCATACAATGTCGCATGATATTGCATTGTGCCCCGTGTGGGGCAAGTGGACGTGAGCATTTCTTGGTGCAAATCGAGATGGAAGTCTAAGGATTGCCATAACCTAGTCCGAATACCATTTGAGTTCAGGTGAGAGGTGCATTCGACACCAAAGCCGAAGTTTATCGATGGGGGGAGACGATGAAGGGAGCGAAGTACACCAAATTGGAAAATTTGCCTTCTCAGTATGAGTCAGAAGTGGTTTCCGGTGAGTACGTCTGCCAGCGTAGTTTACAGCGTATGTTGCTAAACAGCCAATTGGCACAGTTATTTGAAGTTCCTTGTGATCAAGGAATGAAAGGAGCTGAATAGTAAGCTTCACTCGTTCACTGACTGACAATAGGCGACATAAATTGTACAGTAGGTGATTACATAGGATTTCCGTTTGCAAGAAGGGAAGCACAAGAGACACATTCCAATTTTTTCATATGTGCTGTTTCGAATGTTTGAACATGTCCAACTATGCTCAAAACCGTGCTTAAATCCCCCCCCCCCCTTCCTTGGATGTCACAATATCTTGTGTTCACATCTTCAATCATGCGTGCACCACATAGTAAGAAGATACAACGAGCTAATTCAATGCGCAAATGCACTCATTTGTTATGTCCATATAACTAAACAAAATTATTTACTCTATTGGCAACTTTGGCAACTTTTCGCACATGTGCAGGGCCAGTTCTTGATGCAGAGCAAAATTGATGCAGCCAGTTGTGTGCAGGATTCCTAGGTGCTCGAGTCGTGCATAGCTGCTCGCACTGTCACTTCACAGGAAGGAACAAGGCGAAATTTAAGAACGGAACCAAAATCAAATACGGTTGGCAGCAACGAAAAGTATCAATAGTATATCTAATAGTACAGCTGTCTGCAAGTTGCGTTTTCTGGATCCTCCAGAAATAAATTTCAACAAGTACCTGGGCTATCCTTTTGGGAAATGCGCATTCTTTCATTCTTTAGAAACCGTCAGAGCTCTATTCCTTCCATTTTGCCATGGCATGTCCCTACCTCTGGACAACTTAGTGCAATGAAAAAGTGACATCTTACCTTCTTTAGCTAAAATCAGCACATCTTTCACCCGTACATTCATCACACATCTTCTGTTGCTGATCAACCCAGAGCATCATGAGTGCACACAAAGCTTTCCAAACAAATCTGCCGCTAAAGTATTGTAACGTTGCCCCAGGCAAACAGTTCCACGTTGAGGTCATCATGCGCTACGAGGGCAAGCTCACAGCAGAACTCGTTGGTGAATACTTCTCTTCCACGGGCGCGCAAGGTCTGTTTGGTGACTTTAGGTTGTTGCGACATTGCCAGCTGCATTGTTGACTTTCACTGCTCCACTGCGATTCACCGCCCAGCTTCGCTCGAGGGCTTTTCGATGTATTTGAATATGAAAGCGCGTCGAGAAATGTCTGTATGCCTGCTGGTCCGCACCCACGAAGCATTGTTTGTGGAGTAGTGTGCACTTCTGCCTTATGCACTATGTCATTTGATTCGACTTATCCCCAAGTATAATGGGTTGATAGGATTTGACTGCATGTCTGCTGGATATTCTCGCTGTGGGTGCTCTGGCAATAGCAACCACAACTCCTTTAGTTTGAGCAATTGATCGAGTTGCAAAATGAAACGTCGTTAAGTTATATTAATGTCCTTTTCCAAATTACTAAATGAATACCCAAATCACGACCGCCCCTGTGTGCATTGCGTGGCAGGTCCCCTGTCCATCACAAAAGCATGATCCATTGTTTTCCCGAGTTTTGTGCAAATCCACAATCTCTCCCTAAGAAGGGTGAGTATTGTGGCCCCTTCAGATGCGGCGGCAAGCCCATGCTCTGCATCTACCAACGAGATCCCATTTATGTGTTTCAACGACTTGGCAGGACATCATCTGCTTTTGGTGATTTCAAGCTGCCTCGAACGAATCGCCCTTGATTCTTTTAGTATATTCATCTCAAATTTTGCCCGAAGCCTGTTTGAGGTTCGCTGGCGGTATTAAATGGCGTTGAATAAGTTTTGGCAGTTTCAAAGGCCTTTATCGAACTCAAGTGGCTTAGTGTGAGACGAACAGATAAGTCCTTCGGAGCACCTGTGCAGGTTGTACAGAAAGCATGTTTTCCTGACGCTACCGATCTTGAAGAGGGCGACTGGAGACCACGCTGGTTTGCAATTGCAACTGGCAATATTCCATGCCCAGATGTCTTGCGAAGTTGTTTCTATGTATTACAATAAAAGCCGTGTAGACGGGGTGCAGCTCTGCAAGCTGGTCAAAGGGGGCATCATTCTCTGTATTGATGTAGCGTGCAATGGAAAGGCTCTCTGATTTAATAGAACGGTTCTCAGATTTTATGTGCACATGGCAGACACGCTTTGTTTTGTTTGTCAAAGTGCACATTGAGTGAGCTATTGATATGATCTATGACATGCATGTGCAAAGCGCTTGTCTGATATGTGAAGTGCATCACCATAAAGAGATGATGATGAAGAAGTCGGAGGTAGGGTGCGTTGAGTTACCAAGGGAGGAGGAGGGGGAGGAGTTTAACAAATTGCTGGCAGAACACCTCAAAGAAAGACGTCGCAGCACACAAGGCATAGCAGTAACGAATGTTGTGCATTGTGGTTACTTGTTGTATTTGGCATTATGCCACAGAAACTCATGTCTCACTCACGTTTGATTCAAGTACAACTAATGGTTTGCCGAGTTGCCATCAATTTCATCACTGGAATTGCAAGTCAATAAGCAACATTGTCTTGTTTGAACAAGCCAAGCAGGTCAACATGACACAATCAAAAATAGCATCGCAAGCAACAAGTCAATTGCAAAAACTTTATAGCATTGCACAAGACATCCTTTCCAATTCAAAGAGATATTGCTGCTTATCCTGTGATGATAATCTGGATTCAAATACAATGCATACTACTGTATCCCTGTCAACTGTGTGTCTAAAGAATACTAAAAATACATATATTGTTGTACAGAAAAATACCATAGACTCCCTGTCAACTCCTACCCATTGATTTCCAATTCCTTATGCATTGCAACTGCCTTACTAGCCAACTTCACCCCAATTGTCATAATTAGACAACACGGTGACAAGTATGACTACAAATCAATTCGCCCCACACATACCCTCAATATTGTTTCAAACTATTCTCATTCAATGCAATACAATGCTCTTTGTGAGCTATCACAAACACATAAACACAACCAATGAGCACTTACATTGTGGTTAGAATATAGCAGACATGTGTAGTTGGGTAGTTACTTCCTTTCGTGTTCATACAAAGTTGTTCCCTCTTGCTACAAAGTTGCGAATCTTGTAGTAGTGAGTATCATAAGAAAAACTCGTACACTATTATTGACAAGTATAACATAATGCTAAGAAATACAATGTGGCCATGGTGTAGATGATTTGCCACCAAAAGACAATATTTTGGAAGAAGAAAATCCCATTAAAACACTATTTAACGATGCCAAAACCCAAGACACAAGGATGCAAGCGACTACAGAGTAATAATGGCACTTGGAGGATGTTGCAACATATGATTGTGGAAAGACATAAGTGCATCCACTTGTGTTGACTTTAGAGGAAACTGCATTAGACAACTTTATAGAGGCAAAAGCTAGTGCTGAATTGCCCTCAGAGAATGTTTTTAAAGGCAATCCTGCTTCTAAGAAAGCAAATAAAAGGACAAGTTATGATGAAACTTGGATATAAATCATAGTTGTCCCTTCACTCCAAGCATAGATGGATAGTTTGGAACTAGGCATTAAGGTCACAATAAAGTATAAGAGGAAAGTTTAAAATGGAACCAAGACATTCTTCCGATACCAATTCAGCAACAAGAAGGGATAGCACCAATACTAGTGGCGATACCATGTACTAGGTAAAAAGGATTGTGTTGTCATGTAGTGGAATAGCGAGCAACATAGTCACCAAAAGGGGTTGGTGTTCAACTCTAGTACAGTAGCACTTTAAAATCCTAAAGTACACAAAGTTGTATGTGAAAGTGTGGTTGATAGCTTGAAGCCAAACTGGGTAATCAAAAAATTGGAAGAGTGCAACATGCCGGTCTCTATCAGAATCCAATTCTTCAAACTAATTGTGCGTATTAGAATGCAAGGTGATTTGCCTACACGAAACACCATGCTATTAAATACAGAGAACTTCAAGTAATGGATTGCAATGATACAAGAGGTGTTGAATATGACAAGGCAATGGTGATTTGCGAGCACATAGAGGACACACTTGGTGCTGAAAATTGACCAAGATTTGAAGTCAGCGGGGTAATAAGGAGACTGATTGAAGTGTTGGGAAAAACTGGACAATTGCCTCTTTATATTAATGCCATGTTCAAGGTAGTTGAGTCTGGATTCCTTGTGATTATTTGTGGGGTGACAGATATAAATTGAGCCTTATATTTTGTGTGCATTTTGCTCATCAGCCATAAGGATACTCAAGCATACATAGGTATTTTTGCTTTGTTGAAGGCAATTTTTCTGCAAACAACTAGACATCATCTCAACCCTTGTGTAGTGATGGCGGATGGCTCTGTTGCAATCATCAATACTCTGAATCCTGAATTCCATACTGCTGCTGTTGCATGGAAGAGCCGCTAGCCCAGGGGCGGCACTCCTTGAAGACCTTAAAATCCCGACTCATCACCGACTCAGACCGGGTGAGAGGCTCGGGCCACTCCCCGAGCTTCGAATCCAGGGAGTGGGTACCTCTGATAGGTGGGCCGCCCGAACGGGACGGATCTAGGAACGGGACGGAACGGAACGGACGATCGAGGTCCGGCCCGCCCCGGGGCCGACAGACGGGGACGGATTTGGGGACGGATTTGGGGACGGATTGGAACGGACCGGAACGACCGAACGATCGGAACGGTCCGCTTCTTGAACGACCTGTGAACGGTCTGCTCGGATGAACGGGGTGTCCGCTCCTCGCCCCAGAACGGACTCCGCCTCGGACGGAACGGACACCATTGCCGCCTCGCCCGACCAACTTTGGACGGGCCCACCTCTGCCCTCAGAACCGATGGTCACCTTACTTGCCCCCAGTATAATAGGGCATTAAGACTACACTAAAGTTACCATAGCCCTATTAGGGCCAGTCACCTTAGGGTCGCCCTTGAAAACTATATTAAGGGCTTATACCTTTATGTACCGATACAGCGATACATCCCCCCCCCCCCCCCCCAGTGTCGCGACCTGTGACAGTAGGCACCGTGATAAGCTTCCCGCGCACTATCGACATGGAACCGCAATAATGGCCGTGAGGTGCCTGCTCTAGGAAACACAGAGGAAGGGGCGAACGATGTGAGAGGTATGCCGAATGGCAGTACCAGAAGGAAAAGGGGGGAATGGGTCAGGGGGAAAGAATGCAAGTGCAACATACGAAGTGCCAGGGCAAAGATCACCAGCCGATGAGAGCCAAAGAGAATGACCAGACAAACAGGGAAATGTGAGGTGGGACCAGACAATGATCTGGACCACCCATGGACAAGAACAAAAAATGAATCCAAACCCCGAGATTGGGAGGGAGGAGCCGTAGAATGGGGTAAGAACTATTATGTTGATGCACACATGGCAGAGATAGACAAGGGGCAGTGGCATATAGCCAAACTGCCCCATGGGGGAAAAGAAGTGCAACAAAGCAGCTAAAAAGTCCAGTGGAGCTGCACGACCGGCACAATACAACCCTCAAACTCCTTGGTATAAATGCCATCAAAAGCGATATCTAGGCCTATAGGTGGGTGTTGTCACAATTGATGCCTGCCCAAAGACTATAAATACCACAACGAGGGCAATAGATAGGGAGGGAGGAATCCCTCGAGGAGCCCCAAATAGACAATGAGGAATCGGCCAGTATAATTAGGCAAGAAAAAGATGAAAAAGAAGATTTCCTACAATTGGTGTTACGACAAGGATGTGCATGTCACCACCGTGGTATAACCGAACATGTATGGAACAGCCGCAAAATGTCAGTTGGCCATGTCCAGGGCCGCGCATGTCTATCCCCAAAAATAGGGGCCCCACCCATACAAACTCACAGTACAGGGTCTCCGTGCAAATAGCCCAGATCCAAAAGCAGATGAAAAGAGGGAAGCCTCCCAGAAACAGGAGAGGCTTTCCCAGCTCAATACCCCCACACTCACCCCCTCGAACCGACCTGAGCAGACTCAATCAGAACTATGACCTCACGAATAAACCTCCCCAGCCAAGAACCCCAAAACCGAGCAAGCCACACCCAATCCCCCACTCTCGCAGCACCGACAGTACCCAACAGCCACTCCCTCTCATGCGTAATCCCTCTGCAACCCCACACAAGGTGCTCCCTGGAGAAGTCCTCCCCACACAGCGGACAAGGCGCCCACTCTGTGGGGTTCCAGGGCATGCTGAAGCTCCCTAGATGACAATGTGCCGTGAGGAAACGCGCCGCGTAGGTAATGTCGAGCTTCCCTCCGAGCTCCGCGTCCTCGGGTCTCTACGTGCATCCGACCGTCGGCAGAGCCTCGCGAAGCGACGACCCCACCACCACCGTGCTCCACCGCACCTGCCACTCTCGCATGAGGGCGTGATCCATGGCTCTCCTGATGACTCCTGTTGTGGAAACATATGGGGGTAGAGTGAAGTAAGGCCTTTAGTCATTTATTATGGTCTATTAGTGGAAGCTGACCCATTATATAGCTGCAGATACTCGTAGACCCATTACATGCTAGATTCCCCTAAGTAATAGTGAAGATATGACCTTGTGGAGTCCCAGTACCTTAAAGACAGGCCATGGGGGTATAGTGGGCTACGGTGTATCGATATGGGTCGGTTCTGGGGTACGCTGGGAGTGAGTGACGGTTGCACTATGTACTGTATAGTAGATGTCTGACTGTTGTGGGTGATTGGCCCCGGACTGGCCAATCACCGTGCACAAGGGGGAGGTTTGGTCCAACCCCTCGTTGTTACCGTTCTGGCTCACCGCCCCGCTCCGCACGGGCCTC